GCTAATAACATCACTTTTTTTTTGGAGTAGTACCATTAAATTATATATCAATGGAAAGATAATTTAATCAAGAATGTAATGCAATAACTTTTATGAAGGATTTGCTATTAGAAAAGCAGTTACAGTATAAAGAAGAAAAGTGAAACACTTAGAAAAAATGAGATACACAAAAAATATCACCATAGAAAAAAATGAGATATACAAAAATTATCACGTCAGTTAATCCTTAGTTGGGTAACCTTTAGCATGAATTATGGCCTTACAACATCTTCCCATGGAGTGAACCAAGTCTTTTAGTTCTGCAGCTGTTATAATGTGAAACCAAGATTGAATGATTGCTTCTATTAACTGGGTTTTATTGCTGGGTCATTTCTGACTAACAAGTTTCTTTAGTCGGCTCCACAGATTTTCAATTGGGTTAAGGTCTGGGCTATTCCCAGGCCATTACTGGGAAAAAGTAAACAAAAAACAAAAAAAAAGTGGTGTTATTAGCCATCAAACCTCAAAAATACACATTTCCCAAAAGGTTTCCACAATTTTGGCCATTACTGTAGTTTACCACAACTTGTACAAGGCCTGGTAGGCTATTGGCAACCATTATAGCTTCCAAAAAATTTGTGTGGTTCTGCTGAACTCTGGTCAAGAAGCAAGCAGCTGCAGCTTCTGAGGCACCTTCACAGGTAACACTTTGTAAAGTAAATTAAAATAGAGATGTTTATTATACTGTATAAATAGAGAGGAGCTCTACTCAGATCTTGCTCTACTCAGATCCTGCTATGTTGCTTCATCGTGGTGATGGTAATAGTGAATGTGTTCCTGAGTGGAGTGAATGAAGAATGGGTGAGTGGGAATGTATGCCAAGAGTATCTACAGTACTTCCAGAAGACCCTCCCAAAATGTGAAGGTCATCCCAGCTAAGCCTACCAGACCAGCAATGATATAGGAAGATGCTGGACAAGGAAGATTACTTTAATGATAGCATTGGGAAATCTGAAGGGCCAAGTTAGTCAAGATCAAACTGGAAAAAGTCTGTCTAGGTGGTTGCAAAGAGCTGAGATGGACGTGATGGCACACAAGCATATCTTGGTCTTCAGTACAGAGGACAAGCATATCTCTGTCTTCAGTATCTCCAGCTGTAGATGGAATATCCATGGAACCAGAATCAATTGGCATTCTTGTTTGCTGGGATTCAGACTCAATTATGCTTTGTCGCTCATAATTCTCATCCAAAACCTTCTATAGTAGAACCAGTTTTACAAGAAATCAAGAAATCAATAGATTGTAAATTCAACTTCCACATTTTTTCCCCTATGTTCTCTTAGCCTGTGTTATATCTTATATAAGAAATGAGGAGGACAAAGAGAAGATAGTGAAACCTGGAGAAAAACTTGGTGTTTTTCAGCAGAATTGTAACACGTGCAGGTGTTCTTTGAAGATAAATTCTACAACAGCCTGAGATTAAAGTAAAACCAATTAAATTAATAAATTTATTCTTCTGTAAGAGAAATTGGACCAAATTAAATGTATGAGGTTTACACAGTAATGGGATTTAATGAAATTCAAGATTAAATTTATTATTGATCCTGGCTTTGTTCTTTTCTTTGTCCTCCTTAGTGTGTCTACTTTTGAGTGGCATGCTAAAAGCTGTGCAAACCTGGATCTGAAGAAAAGCAATCTTTACTGTAAATGAAGAAGTACACACAAAAAACATTCAAGGAAATGGCAAAATGAAAATAAATGAAAAGCAAAAAAAACCAAAAAAACAAAAAAAAAACAAAAAAACAACAACAACAACAACAAAAAAACCCTTTCATCTGGATCATTGTTTCAAGGGGATCTGCTAAACAGGAAAATAAGGTAATTTTCAGAGCATGAAACTATTTTTTATGCTTTGTAAAGTTCCATGAACACTGATAACTCCCCCCCCTCTCTCTGTTTTTATGTATGTGTAATGGGCTCAGATGTTTATGCTTAGGAAATGATAGATAAGAAATTATAATGGGAAGGAAATACAGAGAATTGATTTTCTTCTCATTAAAAATGGTGAGCTTGTAAAAGCTATTCCTGCAAATTGTTCAGGAGTTTATTAAATCATAAAGAGAATAGAAATACAAACTAATGTCAACATTCATTGGAAGCATTCTGTAAAGAGTTCTTGACCCCCTTGGCAAACACTTCAAATTTAATTTTGAATGCAGAGAGCTGTAGAGTTCCTGGCATGTTAAACTACAGGTTCTACCAGGAACTTTGTGTAAATGTGTATAAAAGTGTAAAAGATGTGCCTATTAATTTTAAAAATATGTAATTTTTATTTTGTACATTTCTCCTTGATATAGAGTCACTAATAAATATGAATGACATCTTGTGGCATTAAATTATCTTTAATGCCTTTAGAAAGCAGAATGGAGCTAGACTTAGGCTATTATAAGTTACACAAGGATTTGAAAATACTAAAATAATTTCCTTGTTAAACACAATTTAATATGTTGGCCCAGATTTATAAAAACAGCTATTAGATAAATACAGTTATACTAATATACACACAAATACATAAATAGAAATATTAGTTGTTCTTTAGTTTGAGGGGAAAAATCTCTTTTTCCTCGCTTTCTGATAGGTTGAACTATGTGTTTCTTGAAACTGAAGAGAAATTTAACAATAATATTATAATGCTAGATAATGTGACTGGAGAACTGTTAATGGAGTAGAATATTTGTGCACATGTGTAATCATCCGCTCCTGTTCAGAATTAGACTCTTGTAGAGCTGTGGTTGTGCAATCAGAGGTGGGTTTCAGCAGATTCTGACCAGTTCTGGAGAACTGGTAGTGGAAATTTTGAGTAGTTCGGAGAACCGGTAGTAAAAATTCTGACTGGCCCCTCCCCCATTTATTCTCTGCCTCCCAAGTCCCAGCTGATCGGGAGGAAATGGGGATTTTGCAGTAACCTTTCCCTGGAGTGGGGTGGGAATGGAGATTTTACAGTATCCTTCCCCTGCCATGCCCACCAATCCACCAATCCATGCCATGCCCACGAAGCCGCATCCACAGAACTGGTAGTAAAAAAATTTGAAACCCATCCTCCATTGTGTGCAATGGAGCTTTGATAAAAGAAAAAAGTAATAGAATAAAAAAGAGAAAAAAATACCAGACTCTTAAGCAAGCTCGCTAGCTAGCTTCTAAACATAACAACAATGGGACGATCACAATGGGAACTTTGAAGGGTTCCTTCAATTGAAGCTGCAACAAATGAAGAGTCGCTTTGAAGATCTGCCAAGCTCTAATACTCACACATTGTCAAAAACAAGAACAAGAACCGGGACTGTAATAATGGAAAAGAGAGCTGAACAATCAGAAAATATTAGTATAATTTTAATAGAAATGCAATGCATTATACTGCACAAGAAAAACCGAGAAGAGGAAACTTCAAAGACTAGCGTATATTGTATATAATAAAATACAATCAAGCAATCAAACATAAATAAAATATGAACATAAAATCTATAAACTAACCCAAATGACTAAGCCTAGCCCTATGAAAGTCTAATAACCTAAAAAAATGAACAGAACTATTAAAGCTGAAGTATGAGACAAAAGGCTGGCCAGGTAAGCTCATTGTTTGCTTAGTCTGCTGCCCAGATGTTCACAACTGATGAGCAACTTTAAGGCTGCTCTTCTTAAAATGGACTCGAATTGGTCAAAAGAATCATTTAACTAAGGAACATTCTCCTTTGACAGTCTTTCAAACAAAATTGTCTTCTGCAGGGTATGATCTAAGACTATGTTATGATCCATAAAAGAGATAATTTCTTCTGCTTCATTTGCGTATTTAAATTTATTAGCATCAACACACACACACATCACTTTTTAGATGCTGATGCTCACAAAATGATTTAGAAACAATAAAAGGCTTCTATCTTTTAAAACTCTTATAAAAACCTTACTAAGCACGGATATCGGAAGAGTTTAGAGATGTTATTCATCAAAGGGAAAACCCAGAGATGAATATTTCAGAGCGAAAGATATCACAGTAGCATCTCTGAATTTCAGTTTTGCAAGAGGCACCTCTGAAGGATATTATAATAATAAACCAACGCTTTTATTGGGGATGAGGAAGAGAATGAGAAAGAAGAGATAAAAACACAGCATCTATAGGAGATAGTGAGCCTACCTCTGAGATACCATCTGAGACAGGAGAAAGGAATCAACCAACCCCTCCCCCCAAAAAAAATTAGAAGCAGAATACCTCCAGCCATGAACTCCTGCAGAAACAAGTTCAAACCAGTACTAGGAAGAATGAAGGTACCATATTGTGCTAAGTGACAAAGGAATTAGAGTAGAAAAGCAGGAAGATCTGTTTACTTGACTGACCAACTTTAACAACTGGGAAGTAGTTATGACCATGTGACTTGGGTGGAAATTGAACCTACAAGAAATAGAAGTATAGTAAGATCTCCTTGATGGTGTGTTGGAATCAGTGCTCAAGTTACCAGCCTGAACTTCATGTCTTGATTTTGTCTCTCTTAAATAGTCTGACTCTTGTAATGTGATGTGCATATGCTTCTTCTAGTCTATGTAAGATATGACAACTTGGCTATGAGGACTGGAAGAAATTGTTAAATTTCACTCAATTTCATTTGACTTCTGCATATTATTCACAGTCGGGTAGGTAAACAGAATAAACCAAGGCCACCATAGAACAATATCTGTGCTACTATATCAGATATACCCGAGTTAAACAGATAAATCTGGGATCTTCCACAGAATTCACTTACAACAACATAATGCACAGTCTCCCTCACAGAGCCCTTTCTCTGATTAATTGTAGGTTTAATCTACATTAATTTTCCTGTGCGTGTTGCTAGAAGAATTGTGGTCACTCTATTTCATCCAGAAGAATCAATCTGCACAAATCTAACAAAAGCATGCAGATATGAAGAGAAGGAGTGGAGTGTTCACAAAAATTAGAGAAGAGGCACAATTACATATTAAAAATCTCCCACCTGTGTAACCTTTTCAGTGACGTTATGTGTTCTTTCTTTCACTTTGGGCGCAATAATTGTTTTCTCTGATGATGGAGGTGATGATGCCTTTTTTTCATTTTTGATATCAGAAAAGTTTAGAGTGAGCTGGGGAATCTTATTGATGGTGCTGTATTTGTTAAGGTTTGAATCAGATGTAGATCCTAACAGACTTGACTTGATATGGTTAAAAGGACCTACAAGAAAAAGAAGAAGATATCAGCTGATATAACATCTTGAGTCACTTTCCACATAACATAAAAAAGTAAATACCTTTATTGTTATTTTCGTTTTTCAACCAGACTTGATAACTCTCTAGTTTAGAATCTGCCAACACTTCAATTGTGGGAGAAGGGCAGAATATAGTGCCTAGAAATAGTAAATAATTCACCGGGGTGTATTTATGTGTTCATTGCACACCCCACTCTTGAATCAGGGCTTCTCATTCTTTCTACTACTGTAAATGATTCTGTTTTCCAGTCTTTGTAGGGTCCTTAAACTAGAGGAAATTTTAAATAGAGAAAAATTATAGAAAAAGCAGGAATCTATTTCTTCAGCGTTTACAGATCTCTGAGCTGGTTGAGTGAACACAAGTGGAAGCAGAAATCCATTAGTGGAGTAATATCTTAGATTTAATCTAGATACACTTCTCCCTGAAAGCTTTATTTCACGCTAGATTGAGAACTATAGGCTTTTAAAGTCTGGAGCACATGAACTTTTTAAATTATGAATTTAGAAGAAATCTCTAGTTATTATGGCTGTATGAGAATTCCAGATTCAAAGGCAGTATACTTGTAAATACCATATGCTGAAGGGGCGACAAGAAAAAAAGTTCTGGTTTCTTGGATTCCTGAAGACTTCTGGATTCTCTCTGTGGACAGTAGAGTTTTTCATTATATTCTAAAATATGCAATTTTCCCCAAATAGTATGTTGCTTCCATTTAAGGTGCATATATCTGTGCTGAAGGGGCAAATAAGGCATCATTTATTTACCTTTCCTAATCTAAAAAGGATCCAAAAATTTTAGGCCCACCTTCTCTGATGTCACATTGCCAGCCTTGTCTCCTGGTGCCTTCAGGCAGGCAGGCAGAAGGGCTGCTCTAAGACTGAAAAAGGATCCTTGAGCATATTACCTTCTGCCAGCTTCTGAGAGTACTTGCGACAATAGAAGAGAGATTGACCACAAATGTATCCCATAAATAAATACTTCCTGAATAACTAAATGTCCAAATTAGAGAGAAAAGAAGACTGTTTAATTTCATTGGCACATGTGCTCCTGAATACAAGACAGACTCCAAAACCTGGGTAATCCTAGATGCCTTTTGTGCCATTGTTGCTTGTTTTCCATCAGTGATTTCAATCACGGAACAGCAGCACAAATTATAGTAGTGGTCAAAATTGTGGAAACCTTTTGGGAAAACTGTATATTCTAAAACTAGCTAGTAACACCACTTTTTTGGGGAGTAGTACCATAAAATTATATATCAATGGAGAGATAATTTAATCAAGAATGTAATGAAATAACTTTTATGAAGGATTTGCTATTAGAATAGAAGTTACAGTATAAAGAAACACGTAGAAAAAAACATGTGAAACATGTAGAAAAAAAATGAGATATACAAAAATTATCACCATAGAAAAAATGAGATATACAAAATCACCGTGTCCGTTAATAGTTGGGTAACCTTAAGCATGAATTACAGCCTTACAACGTCTTCCCATGGAGTGAACCAAGCCTTTTAGTTCTGCAGCTGTTATAATGTGAAACCAAGATTGAATGATTGCTTCTATTAACTGGGTTTTATTGCTGGGTCACTTCCGACTAACAGGTTTCTTCAATTGGGTTAAGGTCTGGGCTATTTCCAGGCCATTCCAGCAGTGGAATATGATTATCTTGAAACTCCAAAAAAAAAAAAAAAGTGGTATTATTAGCCATCAAACCTCCAAAATACACTTTTCCCAAAAGGTTTCCACAATTTTGGCCACTACTGTAGTGCTCTCTTCTACCTGCCTTTCTTATGTTCGTTATTCATGCACATTTAAGTCTTACTTTGCTAAAGCAAGTAACAATTATTCAGCTTCTAAGATCAGCTCTGATGGTCCTTTTCAAACACTTATTCATAAGAGCTGCTAGGCTGGCAGGCATATGAAACAGAATATTTATTTATGGCAGGTTTGTTCTTATGGAATAGGCTTCTACCAGAAATATGTTCATTTCCCTCTGAGAATCTTAAATTGGCTTTAAAGATTATGGAACACTGATGTGGCTCTATACTGACAATAAATACAGAAATAGGCAGAGTCTTGAGTACCTCAAGTCAGCAGCAAGTTCATTTACAGACAGTTGTTCACTTACAACATGGCGCCACACAATATCAAAACCACCGCTGATGGAGACAAGAAGCAAATGGGAGAACCTCCTAGGAATTGGGTCACTTGAGGGCATTAGCACATGCACACCATGCAGGTTTGATGGAGACATTTCATCAAGTATATTAAATGACATATTGAAGAGGAGCAAAGGAGAAAAATCCTTCTTCGTCCTGCCTCTCCTACTAAATTTAGGCTATAAACACAAATGATAAGTTTGTTATGAGAAAAAAATATATGTGCAAAAAGGATTCTAGTTAGCTAGAGAAAGGAATGTCTCCATTTGGCTAACTATGCTTTACAATATTGTCCTGGTGAAAAGGACCAATACTAGCATGTAATAAATATGAACAAGCATGTTTCCACATGAAATTGCAAATGGAATTCATGCAAGCACACCTGAAGACTACAATAAGCTTAAACCATACCCCCTGCCATCCAGGAGCGTGAAACTAGTTTTAAGGAGACAAAAGAGGAATACGTGAAGGGTCCAGATTATTCACTGATTGTCTTGGCGTCAGAACGATAAAACTGAATTGGATTTAAAATGAATCAATGGTGGCTAGTTTCAATCATGCAAAGCTCAATTTGTAATACTTTAACAAGATCGTATCTTGAAAACTTCAAGTTATGGTATCTGCTTAGGATTGGCAGCATCCACATTCTACCTTCTTCAACAAGTTTACATACTGTAGGTACAATCCAGCCAAAGTTCAAACTTTTAAGCCCTCCTGGGATTTTGACGGGAGAGAAGTAGGCACATGCTCAACTCTCCCACTCAAATCAAAGGGGCTTAGCAGGATGTGCTGCTTGAATCAGTGATCAAGGAAAAAGCCCCAGAGAAAACATGGGAACTTTCTTCTGGATAGACAACTAGAGGATTGCATTGTAACTAAGTGAGGCCAATGGCTTTGAAAGAACATACTGTGCATCCCTTCACAGCTTCCTCTGAATGGCCATCTATCATCACTCTGAATTGAGAGCAAAGAGAATTGTGATGCATCCATCAAAGCAAAAAGAACAGTAATTCCTGTAATGTGCCCAGCTTTGTAAAGGTTAGCATGAGTATGATGCATTTGTACAGTTTCTACAGCATGCCAAATAATGTGTCTTTCAAAAGCACCGGACAATAGAGGTTATAAATTTACATTACCTTTGACATTGCGACCATTGTCTGTTATTCAGCAGAATAAAGAAAAGCAAAAGGGGGAAATAAACTGTGTATCCAAAGAATCCAAACTGATGATTTACCCCCCTTCTTGGTTCCCCAATACATTTTGAGGGAGCCAACATTAATTTGGGTGAATCAGCTAATGTAACGAATGGAAGACTAATTTTCTCTTTTTAGAATTAAGAACCAAAAGTTGTCCTCATTCAACTGCTCTTCAAAATTTCCCAGAGTGCTCAAAAGTGTTTTCAAATTAGCTGGAACAGCCGTTTAAATGGATGTGATATATCTCAGGAGGGGCTGTTCTTTAAATTTGGAGGCTAATTTGACTTAAGAAATTGTAATTGATTGAGTAATTTTCCTGGATTAATCAATAATAGAATGCAGTCAACCAACTGCTCAATTAGTCAAACACACATTTTAATCAATCAGTTGCATGAAGATGAACAAGGGTTTTATTTGTGAAGCAAGGATTATCTTCCTTCTGAAACAATATACACGCACATTGCTGATTTGGACTGCCAGGTTGGGCAGGCAACTGTTCCCTTCAGTTAATACAGTGTCATCTTTCAGATCCAGGAATCACACCTTCTCTAACATGGCACCTGCTTTCTGGGATGCAATTCCCTATGAAAACTGGGTGGCTTCCACCCTGTAATGGAAGGTATGAGTGATCTTGGTGGACGAAGGAAAGGCATGCTACCCATGAAACAATCAGATAAGAGGGGGTGGGATCCTCCAATCAACTAATGGTCAAAGAAAGAAACTTGGGAAAGACCGCCCTCATTCATCAGGCAGCATAAAGTGGGAAGTTTGTTAAGGTAGCCTTACAATAAGGTAGAATTAGCTCGTCTAGTCATGGTTCCTATTTGGTTTACCTGGTGGCTTTCTGGAAAACCTTAAAGACCTGGCCATGCTCTCAGGCTCTAGGCTAAGATGGTTGGAGCCAGTGCTGGGTGTATGATATTTGTTTTATTTGTTGAGTATATCCTGCATCCATTTTCGGATCGGTGTGTTATTAGGTGTTTATTTTTATGTTGCCATCTATGTGAGCCCCTTCCCCAAGCCAGTCTGGAATCAGGTGGTACCTAAATTGATTAAATGAGTGAGTGAGTGAGTGAGTGAATGAATGAATGAATGAATTAATGAACTATTTTCTGGAGGAGGTATTCCACCTGGGTGCATGCTCTGGATGAAGACCTTCTGAATATAAAAGTGGCCATTGCAGTCTGAACCATTCTTGTATTAATACCCCTTTCCAATAAATTGTTGCCCAAATAATGAAGGAACCAGGGATGAAATTCAGCTGGTTCTATCCGGCTCAGGCGAACCGGTAGCGGCGTCTGCGGGAGGCTCTGCCCACCCGCGCGGACGTCATGACATCACTTTTTTGTGACATTTTAAGCCTTTGCACATGCACAGAAGGCTTTGCGCATGTGCAGACAATGGCGTGTGCGCACATTTGCCAACCGGTAGGGAAGGTAAGTGAATTTCATCCCTGGAGGGAACCCTTATTAGGACTTACTCTCAAATTAGTACGCCTAGATGTATAACACAACATGAAGCATATTGACTTGGAAATAAGCTTCCCTTTGCATAGGGTCATAAATGATGAACCATAGAGTGCTTAATGTCATCCCTGCTATGGTAGAATTTCCCCTTAGCTCTTAAAGAAAAGAGATTTCAAAGATCTTGTCCTAGTTGAATAAAAATGGAATGCATGTGTCCCATTTTATTCCCAGCCATTCAGTTGACATAATTCATGAATATTGATCACCCTCCCCTTGCCTAATACTGTACCTTCACTAGCATGCCGATCCCTAAACATGTTCTTGGGATGGACGGTAAATCCTTCTATGTTGTGCACTGAAGATGCTCTCCTTATACTACTAATGCTCTCTTTTGACTGAGCAAGAGTCAACGCTGCGCTGGAATGCAGCATATCCGGGTACAGTCGGTCCCACTGCTGTTTTGGTGATGAATGATCTAGAGGCCCAGATATATTCACTGGAGGTGAACACGTCCTTGGTTGAATGAGTGCCTTGGTGTCATCTCCTTCAGAGGGGCTGCAGCTTTCTTTCGTAGGAGACTTAAAGTGCTTCATGGCCATGGAATTGTCACTGTGTTTTGATGAATCAACAATCACTGCATCAGGATCTTCTTGTGGCAAAGATTGCTTTCTGTAGGATAAAAGACTCAATCCAGGTAGCCTGAATCCAAAAAGTTTGCCTAAGTAGGAAAGATCAGATTTAAGAAAAAAAACTAATCAGTTAACGATGACATCATGAGCTGTTGCAAAATATTTGTTCTGTCATGTAATGCCCTTTGTTTACTAGTAAAGAACCCACTCTATTCTGTTGACCGTGGCCAGGAATTAAGGATTCAATACATGATTCTTGGGCTGCTTCAGATTTGAAGGTAAAATGCTACTTTAGATGTTCAAAATACTGGGACAGCAATGACAAGTCTCAATAGTTATCTAAATAGGGAACAGACATCCCTCACTTCCAATTTTGCAATGGGGAAGAGTATAAATTTGGGAGCTCACACATTAGGGAATGGTAGCAATTAAAGAAGTTAACCAGAACCAAGGAAATCATTCCTTTCTGATTTCTCCTGTCACTGTTTCTAAGTGTGTGTCCAAAACATTTCCTGTTTCTTGAGAAAAACACTGATAATGACATTTGTTTAGATACAAAATGGAGCAACTTTGGTTCATGGTGAAAATCTATCCTTGTGGCTTGCCCTACCAGTCACAGTTCCCTCCTTTTCTCTGATTTTAATGGATTTTTAAAAAAAAATTTTTTAAAAATAAATTTAAAGCCTTGTATTTATTTAAAATTTATTATCTCTAGATTTTTTTTTATTTTGAAGATTTTCATGGCCATTGTGTCTACTACAATGGCTCAGATCATGTTTCTGAAACACTGAAGAAAGAATCCCAGAATTATCCCAGAGTTATTCAGAAAAAGTCACCTTTTTAGAGGTTGAGCAAAGAAACCTCTGTTGTTGATTTGGTTTATATTTATATTCATCAATTCTTTTAACATTGAACCTATCTTTAGGGCAGGGAATTATCTGCTTACAACTTGATTCAAGAGTACAATAGAACTGTTTGGAAATATTATGCTTTCAGTTTGAAACACCATAGGATGGTTAATGCAGGGAAAATGGCTTGCTCATTAATAGCAACATCCAAAAGGCTTACAACGCTAGATTTAAACACAATTAGGTGTTCCTATTTTATCTCGATGAAATCTGGTAGGAGCAGTGTTTTAAATTTCCAGGCACCACCACCTGCATATTCAATAATGAGGGAGAGTAAAGGGGATGATGGCTACTTGCTATTATGTTCCAAAAGAGAAAGTATTTGTGATGTTCCTCCAAGTTTTTGGGTTGCCTTGCCGAGATTTTTCAAAACAATAAGCCTGCAATGTTTTATTGCTCTCCAGCTCTGCTGCCTGAATATTCTTCTCCCCTATTTCCATGGCCATATCCAGCCAAAGAGAGTTAATCCAATGACAGTCAATCCCTTATGGATCTCTCTGGTGAAAATGATGCATGCATGAGTGATTTGGGAGGGTAGGAGAAGAAATTGCTAAAGATAGCAATGCTTGAAAATTGACATTTGTTAATTCAAGTCCAGATTGGTTTCCAACATAAACTTATTGCATGCCCTAGACCTAGAACAACATATCAACTGAAGCTTAGTTACATATTTAACTTCAAATAAGACCCTGTCTTATATTTTTTGAACCCTGAAATAAGCACTTGGCCTTATTGCCATGGGCTCAAAAGCCCGATTGGGCTTATTATCAGGGGATATCTTATTTTGCGGGAAAACAGGGTATAACTCCGTTACGTTTTCATATATTCAGCTCAAACAAGATCTCCCTCTCTCCCTCTCTCCCTCCCTCTCTCTCTCTCTCTCTCTCCCTACCTACCTCTAATTTATATAGCCACCTATCTCACCCAAAGTGTCCCTGTGCGGCATACAACAAAGATAAGAACAATGAATAAATATATAAAATCACTTATCACTATTCATTATAATAAAAACATTAAAAATTATAAACAAGATAAACAAGAAAATAACAGACATGGCGGATGTTAACAATAATGGAGGACATCACAAGTTCATCCATCTTCTGGGGTCCCCAGGCTTGTTGGCACAAACACATCTCAATATATCTTAAAAGATGGGTTTGTAAGGAAATACACTTATACATATACATTTTGGAAGGGAAAAATCTACAGTTATATATGCATTGTGATACCAATTTATGAAATGTTCGCCATCTGGATGCTTGGCTGGTACTTACATGGGTTTTAAGCCTTTAGTCAAGAGTTTAATTGATTGCAACTTAATGAAGTTTTATCTGTTGGTTTATAGTACAGCTCTGCATTAATGATAGTTTGATGGATTGCCACAGTTTGGTGTTTTATGATTTATAGTAGTTTGTTTTATTAACTGTAGCCTGCCTTGAGATCTGTTAATCCATTGATATCATGGCCTTCTTAAACCTGGCATCTTCCAGATATGTTGGATCCATAATTCCTAGATGTTGCTGATAATGAATTCTGTTAAATTATAATCCCAGCACATTTGGAAGGCTCCAGGCTAGTAAAGATTGATCCGGATTCAAATACATGTTTTAAAGGGGTATTAAACTTCCATACTTGAAAAATATATTTTGGATAGAGTGCTAAAGTCACTTACATAAACATAAGATTAATATTAATGTGGATTGAACAGATTATCAAAAATGCATATGTGTATGCTATATAAATGCTTAGAAATAAGTGAAAAAATAGAGCAGAAAAAAATAGAAAGATAAAGTTTAGTATATTGATACAACTGGATAATGGTTTCTCTGTTTCCTATAGCTAAAAAGACTGATATTGAACATTGGAAAGATAAATGTGTGGCCCGATTTATTCAATGGATTGAAGATCTGGTTACACTTGCTGACTATGAGCAGATTGCTTATAGATGTAGACTTTGTATGAATAAATATAATTTATTTTATTGTATTTATTTATTAGAATTTCTCAAACAAAAATGAAAACAAGAATAAAAGAATAAAAATACAATGGCAGGGACGATAGGCACATTAGTGCACTTATGCACGCCCCCTCTACTGACCACTTAAGAATGATGGTCCACGGAAGGCAATTTGTGACTGAAAGTGTGAAAATTAAATAAAATATAATGAAAAATGGAACTCATCTAAACAAAATACAGTAGCTTTTTAAAAACCAGATGGTAATATAACTATCATGTAATCCTTCCAAGTATCATCTAATACATTTCTAAGTGTTTTAGAAATATACGTATATCCATATATACACTTGCATAATGTTTGTACTAGACAGGGTGGATAAAAATCAATGATTTTTTTAAAAAAATAAAAAAAAATCAGATTTTTTGATTTAAATCGGATTTTTTTTATTTTTATCGAATTTATTTTAATAAAAAACTTTTGGGGTAAAAATCTATCGTAAGAGAGTTTTCTATTTAAGATACATAAATAATTTAGTTTATTCAGCATGAAATGGAGCTTAGTTATGTAGCATGAGGCTGTATATTCTGCAACACTGGGACTATTGGTGAGTCAACAGTGGGTCAAAGGAGTAGCAGAGATGACAGTTGCTCTTTAAAAATTATGATTTAAATCGAGTTGATTTAAATCAAGCCTTTTTACTAGTGATTTAAATCGAGTTGATTTAAATCATGATTTAAATCAACTCGACTTAAATCAAATCCACCCTGGTACTAGATAAGTATATATAGAATTGTAACTTTTCACTGTTATAACAAGATATTTATTTATTTATTATGAGTAACTCAAAGTGGCAAGCATCTTTAATACTCATTTCTCTCCTGTTTTGCTCACAACAACAGTGAGGTAGGCTGGCTATGAGAGAGGGACAGGCCCAAAGTTACCCAGCTGGCTTTCATGCTAAGGGTGGGACAAGAACTTTTATTATACTATAATATACAATTAATGCTGATTGATTTTTTCCCCCTCATCCTGAAACATGGTGACATATAAATATGTACTGATGTACATGTATGTCTAAAGTACATTTCCCAAGAACTTAACTTGTTCAGGAGGCGTTATTGGATAGAAGAGACTCTATGTCAGTTTCCTTGGAAAGAAGGATGACAAATATGGGAACAATGATTCTCTCTTTTTCCCTGCTCCCCTATTGTTAAAATTTTTCTAATTGTAGAAGGGGGGGCTAATGTCTATATAGCGCTCTCTCTCTCTCTCTCTCTCTCTCTCTCTCTCTCTCTCTCTCTCTCACACACACACACACACACACACACACACACACACACACACCAGTGGCAGGTTTCAAAACCCGTCGCTACCAGTTCGCTTGTGGGCGCTCGCAGCTTCTGCCCATGCACAGAAGCGTCCGGGTGGGTGGGCGGAGCCTCCCATCGCCGCCTTTTTTGTTGTTGTATGACTTTCAATCTAATCACATGCATCTACAAAACCAGTGAAAGATTTCATTTGAGGGCAACAATAGATGTTTACTAAAAGTAGCTGTAGGTAAAAATGAGTGAAATATATTAAAATATTCTATAGCTTTTATAACGCCTTTGAAAGTGAGTTAAAAAATTACTCCATTACTAGCTAATGACATTGAAGTTTGAACTACGGTAGCTCATCACAGCCTCTTTCGTGGCTTTCCTCACATTCTCGCAAGGAAAAAGTCGACATCTCCACACGCTCTTGTTCTATTTTAGAAATATTCATGGTAGAACAGATGGTATTTTCTGCTTCACTGGTTTAAAACAGTCATGTTAGAGTCTGTTGCTGATCAAGTTGTCTCTTAATTCAGCTGGAAAGGATATGCTTGGAGAGCATCCCTCATTGCTAATATTTTCAGGCACGAAATAAAATAGCAGCAGCAACATATGACTATTTTTTCCAGTTTTTTTTTAAAAAAACAAGACATAAATTGTTCCAAACTTTTGGTTGCCTGTTTTATTTTAAAGGAGCTATTTTTTGAAAACAAGTTATGCATGTGTGATGTACTGAAAATTAACAACTGGACTGGTTTCCTGGCTTTTTATTCAATATGAACGGTATTTCGAATTGCTGGAAATGGAGTAGACAGAACACAGATTACAAAGATAGTCTCGCATGTTATTGGATTCTCTATGTCTGTTGTGCATGTATGTATGAGAAAAAGAGGTAATGAGAAACCTTTTA